CTTTGTACTATTGTATACTTTAGAGCATAAGTATGTGATAATAGACTGTGATAATAAATTATAGATGCTTTTTCTTCTAAGTATTGTGTATGCGAAAGAATCTACTAGTACAACCTAGGGTTAGTTGTATACAAACTAGGTTAGTAATATACCCAAACCAAACCTATACCTAGCACGTGCTACCCTACCTATACCTATCCCTAGTCACGTGCTACCCTCCCCTACCTATGGTCCGTGTAACCCTACCCTACCTATACCTATGGTCCGTGCGACCCTACCCTACCTATACCTACGTCCGTGCGACCTATACCCTACCTATACCCTACCCTAGGTACATGGTACCCATCCGCCAGTCTAGTAGGGAGCCTGTTAGTAAACTCTAGGCTATAAGATTTGTAACATGTTTAGATTAGCTTAAGATAGCATTTAACTAAACAAAGGATAGACAGAGGATACTGTAGGAAGATCCTAAGGTAATTAACGCGTAGTTTATGCTAGTAGAGGGTACTAAGGCTAAGTATAGCATCTTTAATAATAACATGCATAACTTTAATAAGACTAGGTTCTAGATAGACGTGATAGGTTTAATAAAGGTTGTCACAAGCGCTAAGAGACGCGCTTAACCTGAGCTTGTTTAGCTAGGCAATTAGGAGTGGGTTACAGTTATACAGAGCATCTGCGGTGCTAGATATGCAACCCTGCCTTTTATTATCTACAAAGGACGCATCTACATCTCTGCCTAGTATAAGGAGACAGATATACTACACAATTAGAAGCTTTCTGTCTCTAAGAGTAGCTAGACAAATAATACGCTTAGCCTTAAGTAGTTAAAGCATTTTAACACGCATACAAGAGTCAACTTCTTCTCCACATGGCAAGCGTAGAACTGCCCAGATCTACCCTGGTCCATACGTGATTTGGGCGCATCTTGGAACCTGTGGCTGACTATGGATCTATGTAATAGACATGGTCGATCCAGTTGGTCTTGCCTTATCGTTGAGAAGTAGAACGTCTGCAGCCCACCCACTAGTCGCAAACATGCGTACGAATTGATCTCCCCTATTGAGGACGGCGGCAGTCTTGGTGATGCGCGGCACATGGTGGCCAAATTACGCTACGAAAACGATCAGACGTCGTGCACAGCAAGCGCTGCATTGCGCAGCACTCACATTCTCCACATTCAAGGACTCTTTATACGGGTTTCATCTTTGCGGAAGAACGAGCTGGAAGTTTTGAGGATGGGATCAGGCATGCTACGTTAATAAACGAATGTAACCTCCTCGCTGAATCTGAGTGCTTGTGATGGTTCTACGCTGAAACGACGGTAAGACCATGGCATGAAAATATCGAGGTTTCGCCCATGCTTGCAAACAAGCCTTTCAAGCCTTTTCTAAAACCTGGCATCAACAGACTACACTGCTCGCGATCAAGCACCAGATGATTGTTATATTTCAAGATGTTCAGGGCCAGACCAAACGAGGGGTTGTATTGGATGAAATCAATCCTGGTCATAGATTGACGAGGAGAGGGTACAGAAAGTTATAGAGGAAGATCCTACATCTAATGCAAGTCTATTGTAGGGAGGGCCTATACAGAGTAGTAAGTGATTGCTTATTCTATACGTAGTAGTCGCAATGCTTAGGAAAAGTGTTTAGCTTAATAGTGTAGCTGGCTTGGTAGTGCTTTATGTTAACTCTAAAATAAACGGGTTTTAATCAATACAAAACGATGGCAGTGTAGACTCATATTCTTGCATATCCCAGCCTGGCTTCTCGAACTCCTCTTCTAGGCACTTTAGACAGAAAGGCTCCGGTCCAAGGACACCAAAGTTGTGGCCGCCGATCTCTTTCCGTGATAAGATGCTCACGGCAGCTAGTCGCGCAGCCCAGTTTCCGTGCGCCCTGAAGATACCGACGGTACCTGGCTCATCTAACAGCTCTTCCCAGCTATCTATGGACGTATAGTCGAAGTCCGCATCCTGATCGTGATTCTCATTGCAGCACACCGAAGACTTGAACCTTGTCATATCTTGGAAGTCAACTTCGAGAATATCGATGTCGGCGACCCACTGGCCGCGATCGCGTATAGAGACGACAGCCTCGATTATTTGGGCATCATGATCTATCGTACGCGAGCCCTCGGTGGCCAGAGGAATAATCCACTCTGTGAAAGAGAGATGCAACGAAGTTTCTCTGAAATTGTTCTCGCGTTTTCGATCGTATGTCTCGTGGGTTACTACGTTGTAACTATCACTGAGATCTCGAACTCTTGGCTCAATGGGCGAAACAAGAATTGAAATTCCTGCACGGCTGACGTTTCCCGTGATGCTTCTCATCTCATACTCTGGTACTCTTCTGAAAGGGTCGGAAAGCACGACTGCTGGCACATAGATTGTGTCTTCGGAACACAATGCAAAGGCGTACTGCAGATCTTCTCGAGTCAGATCAACAGTTCCTGAGTCGAACCAAGCTATGCAGCCAAACGATTCGAACCGGTCGGGCAGTGGAGGGTGTTGAGACGTGAGAAGCGCTGATTTGGTAGGCCTAGTGCTCGCCTTTTTGCGAGGGACCTTCCATCTCGAAAACAATGATTCGAACCACGCGAGTTTATGCAACGGTTGCAGAAGCGGTTTGAGTGAGATGGTCGCTTTGGATAGATGACCGTAGATCATCGAACAGGACTCCAAGGCGTACAGCGATTTGCTGAAATCCGTATGGAACCTATGCGGTTCTGCAACAAGGGAAACACCTGGCGCGCTCAACGAATTATCCTTGACTTGTTCTTCGGATACAGATGTCAAAGCACACATATAATCCCTCAATCGCTCAGGTACCAACTTTGCTGCCTTAAACTCTTGGACTGCTGCTAACAATCTTCCCGTCTTTGCCGTCTCGGACTTTGCCCTTTTCTTGTAGGTTTCCCATGACTTATCGCTATCGTTCCTTTCTCTTCGTATGTATAAACCAAAGCGTTGATCTCCGACTATGTGTTGGAAATTTGCGGTGACTCTGGCCTTCTTGCGGGGATGCCCTAAGTTAACAGGGTCGACTGGGTTGTCTTGTTGGTAAAGTCGTGGTGGATCCGCCCAGGCGAACCCATGGCCCCGTACCGCCTGCTCCAGCCCTGTAACACGGCGTTCACATTTCTCACCGCGGGCAGAGATGTAGTCCATCCTATCTTGTGTATCAAATCTTTCATCTTTGAGCTGGCCTTCCGAATCAGGACTGAATCTCGGAGATTTGTTTGTTGTAACCATGCTGTTGGGACATATCCATCTCATATATCCATCTGGACCAGCAGGTTGTGTTGTAGCGAGCTCGAAGTAATCTGCAGCCCCGGAACCATGGTGGTATGAGGTATTGTGGGCGCTACAAATAACAGAATCACTAACATTCAATCCAAGTCTCCCTGCAACTTCCCGAAGGTAGTTAATCCCGCAGTCTTCATCCAAGTCTTCGAGCAGTCCGTGGAGTGTCAAAGTGTTCAGAAGTCCGAAGAAAGGCGATGAAATGTAACCAGGGCCAGACAGAAAGCTTTTACCCCTCCGTGACCCATGCTTCAATAGTTGAAAGTTTTGCTGATGATTCTCATCTTCCACTGCCAGCAGTTGGTCTGCCGCCGCTGCAATTTGGCGAAGCCATTCGAACTCGGAGTATCCGTTATCCTTGGTGTGGTCTTCGGCCACATCCATCCGAGTCCAGAGAAGCTTGATCCAGTCCGCAGCCAACAAGAAGTCACGGTGACTCAACTTCCATGACCCGAACAAACCACCCAGTGCTACAACTCGAAGTTGTGCGAACGTCAATCTTGAAGACTCTTGATCACTGCGAACCAGCACAGGCTCGCCATAGTACTGCAAATGGGACAAAGCTAAAGACCATCGGACGCCGTCCTCCTCTGTGGTGTTGGAAACTAGACCCACAGTACCAACACCTCCAGAGGGTATCAACCCATCTTTGAACTCGACTTTCTTAGGCTCAGCTCCAAGCACGATCAGATCGGGAAATAGGTGCCAGGCGGAGAACGCCAGGAATACGGACCCATCTACGATATCTTGCGGCTTCCCAGAAAGAAGTTGCTCAACGGCTAGCATAGACCGCTTCCAAACACTAATGACTTTTTCGTATGTCGAAGGACCGCCAGCGATTGGGGTGTTGATGTTCTTGACAACAAGTTCAAGCTGGCATTGTGACCAGTTCTTTGCTCTGTCCGCTCTGCGAAGCCAGGCTCTTGCACTGCTATCCCACGATTGAAGGTCCTTCCTTGTGATGTCTTGGTATGCACCGACGATTGCAGATGCGGAAACGTTGTGGTTGTTCTGAACTCCCTCTTCGATTTCTTTTCGTCTTGCCGCAACGATTTCCACCCATATTGCCGTAGCTGTCTTTGAATCCCAGGCCCGAGCCAACAAGCAACTGAGGAGGTAGACTCCAAGAGCTGGAATCCCAGATGTTGCTGCAGCCCAGAGGCTTGTGCCATCCGCTCCGACGTACGGTCCGAATGGACCATGTTGGTCTGCTCCGATATCATTTACACCGGGAGTGTTCATGATCTCTGACATGCGCAATCCGTAGGCTGAGATTAGTTTTGGTGTTGTTGGCACAACGTCCTCGAATAAGGCTCCCAGCCTACGTGCGGTTTTGTGTGAGGGTCCCTGTTCAGCGTCCACACGTCGCATAGTGGATAGCGCAGAGACAACGCCGCTGAATTCGACTGGTGCCTCCATTTTTATAAGAGAGAAATCGAACTTGACGTTGGCCAGTGCTGCATAGTTCTCGTTGGTAGCGGACATGAACGAACCTAAAGCAGAAGTGAGCCTGGACATCTTGGAGCTATCCTTGCAGGCCACAAGTCCAGCACTACCAGTGATGAAGATCGTCGGACCGAATGAGATGAATTTATTGACCTAGGTGACCTTTCGCACTCTGCGGACGGACGATTGTATGTCCTGATAGCAGCAAGAGGAGTTTGGAGCTGGCTCTGACCAGCCCTTGAGCTTCGAACTGCCTAGGCTACTGGGGGCAAGATTGACAGCCTGCATACGATGCAGTCAGCGTGGAGTTGATTCGCAGAGGTCTACTGGCCTCTACTGCGCCTCGCTTGGCAATATGCAAGACAGCGTGTTCAGCCAGGCTGTGCTCGCTTAGATTCTCCTTGAAAGAGCAGGTACCGTGTCCGTGCGCCAAACGCCTAGGTTCACCGGTCGCCCGCTCTACGGTACAGTCCGTGCGCAGTCAACGAGCCAGTTCAGTCAACGAGCCACCCCAAACCCCGCTGCCACATGAACCCACCCAACTTCAACGCGTCATAACTCCACAACCATAGATCCAATTTAAGAAGCAATTAAATATATTAAATCGCGTAAGGCTAGAGATAAATTCTCGTACCACTAAGTTGTAAAAGCATTTAGAGTTAATCAAACGACGCTGTCGCGAAGGCACAAGGGTGCACAGGGCTCTAAGGACACACAGGCGGCCGAAGACTGACAAAACCTCAACCCACAACAAGAGGATGAGTTAATTAGATATATAGAAAGGTGTACAAGGGATGGTATACCACCTACACGAAGTATTTTGAAAAATTTCGGCAGCGCGGTTGCGCAGCAAGAGGTCTCTGAAAGCTGGATTACCCAGTTTCAACACCGCCATCCTGACAAGCTCATCACCAAATACGACACTGGTATGGATTGTAGGCGTCACCTGGCTGACAACAAGCATAAATACGAGTTGTACTTTAACTTGCTGCACTCTAAGATGTGAGAACATGGCATTGACAAGCGCAACACGTACAATATGGATAAGAAAGGCTTCTACGTCGGCATCGCCAACCGCACCAAAAGGATCTTCTCTAAGGCAGTTTATGAGTCAAAAGAGCGTACAGCAGCAATAAGAGATAGCAACAGAGAATAGGTAACGCTGCTGGCTTGCGTATGCGCTTCTGGAGATGCATTACCGCCCGCTCTCATCTACCAGGGCACCTCTGGGGTTTAATTAAGCTAGGTTAACAATCTTTTAGCTGAACAACACCAAATTTTTGTATCCTACTCAGCTTCAGGATGGTTAAATAACACCTTAGGACTTGCCTGGCTTCAACAGGTGTTTGAACGCTATACTGCAGCCAAAGCTCACCAGCAATGGCGCCTTCTGATACTTGACGGCCACGCCAGCCACCTCACGCCAGATTTTTTGGAGTATTGTGAAGCCAAACGCATCATGGTTATAGTGTATCCTCCCCATTCAACCCACAGCTTGCAGCCGTTAGATGTTGTGCTCTTTGCGCCGCTTTCAAAGCACTACACTGAGGAGCTTACCCAACGCCTCCAGCGAACCCAAGGCCTCTCAAGGATCACCAAACGCGACTTCTATAGCAACTTTTGGCCGGCTTGGAGCTCTACAATAACTCACGATCTTATATTGAAGAGTTTCCAAGCTACAGGCGTATGGCCGATGGACGCAGACCCAGTACTTCAACGCTTCAACAATGGCCCACAACAACAAGATGACGAGCCAGGAATTGGGGAGCAAGGCGACGGCGATACCTGGCCTCAATTGCGCAAAATTTTTGATGCTGCAGTGGCTGACAAGGCCAAATTTGAAGCCAAACGGCTGTCCTAAGGCCTGCACTCGCTGCAGGTCAACAACGAGCTTCTACGACTCCAAAACGCGGAGCTACGCGCTGAAATCAACCTCATCAAGAAGCGCCCAACCAAGTCTACAACACTAACTACACAAGAAGGCGACGATTGGCACGGCGGTGCTGTATTCTACAGTCCCAGGAAGCTTGCCAGCGCGCGCGCGCGCAAGGCCGCAGAACTGGACGAAGCCGCGGAGCTACAACTCAAAAAAACTCGCGATAGAGAGGCAAGAGCAGCAGAAGCAGCTCACAAAAAGCAGATTCAAGAAGCTGCGAAGGTGGCTCAACAACAAGCCAGAATTAAGCGTGATCGCGAGCAGAAACAGCGCGCTGAGGAACGCGCTGCAGAACGGGCGCTTAAAAAGCAACAACAACAAGCTGCAACCACTTAAAAAAGCCACGATACAGCAAACAAGCGTAAGCGAAAAGCCTCACAAAAAGCAGCAGAAAATCCAGCAAAGCGTTGTCGTGGTGCGGCTGCATTAAGTCGGGTTAACGCTGGTCCGCCTGAGGCGTCTCCCCCACCCAAATTTGGCAGAAATGGCCGCCAACTCAAGACGCCAGCGAGATTAAAGCAGTGCAAATGATCTAGAAGCTTCTTTATAGCAATACCTCGAAAAATCTCACGAAAATAGCTATTGTGTGTGGCTCAATAACCTCATCTTTTTGATCGTCCCATATTGGTGGGGTGGCTCGTTGACTGAACTGGCTCGTTGACTGCGCACGGACTGTACCGTATCCGTGCGCGCAACACCATTTACAAAACGTGTACTACAACACAAACACTTCGCATCAGATTAGAGAATTTCTGCATGAAATTTATATAATTCCAGTACTCTAGTTCCGGTTGCTGCAAGCAGATTATCCCAAGCATGTTTCGTTGTTGCGTTGTAGTGCCCAGAAGTTGGGGCAGTTTGAGCTGCGAGGATGGCGCTTTGCCTTTTTGATTCCGATGACAACACTAAGCCCCATCTGGATTTCGAGGACACTACTAAGCCTAGTCCGCGATCTCACATCGTGCAGCTCAAAGAGCTGGATCTCTGCACCCCCTCTTTCCTGCTGCCGCTCCTGACAACAACCAGATCGATGCCAGGCTCCAAGCTGCCAGCGATGGCGCTCCTCTCGTCAACGACATGCACCGGTTCTATTCGTATGCGTACCCTGATCGCGACCCGTCGCAACTCGAGACATGCCATGTCTCCCTGACTACCGAGATGATCTCGCCCTACGTCTAGCTTTATTGGCGTGGGATATACTCAGCCGATGGTGAGGTATACTATCAGATAGAGCCAATTGATTCGGCACATTTGCACAAGTTGAAGGACGTGGCGGAAACGCCGAAGATCCTACACAACTACATAGACTATGCGATGGGAGAATATCTGAAGTCTAGCAAGACGGCGCTTCCCCCGTTTTGGCAGGACCGGCCGGTGAGATGGGCAAGGAGGAGACAGTCGCAAAGCCCAACAGCTGCGTCGAGCTTGGACTTGCAGTTTGGTATGCCCATGACGCCCTTGACTTCTAGCCGTGGTGGGGAGGAGAACGCGTCTCCTACCAAGAGGCTCAAGCGGACATTGAATTATGGCATGTAGCATCGGGAAAAGTTTTTCGAAATCTGGCCCAGACTGGCCGTTGCTGACAGTTGTGGCATAGTTATGCAACGGCCAATCAACAGCCCTAACGGCCCTAATTTGCGCCTAACAGCCCTAATTTCGCGTTAACATTGCTAACAGCTAAAATACTAAGTGCCTATATTTAATAAACTTAAAATAATATTGCAATATTGTTGCATAGCTACCCTTAGTTCTACTAGTACTAGTATTAAATATTTAAAAATTACAAAATTTTATGCACAGATAGAGTAAAATTGTAGCTTTAAAATAAGCAAAAAATTATTATTATAGGCCTACTACAACACAAGTTATAGAGCGTTAAAGGTTTGTTTGTTGAAGGTTTGTGTTTTGAAGTTACAACAGCACACCATGGCAGCTGCAGCTGCGCCAGCACACAATGTATCAGCTGCAGCTGCAACAGCACAC